GGTCCCAATGTTTTGGCCTCCTATACGTTCAAAACATTGAGACCTCCCAGCACTTTCGCAGGCCAGGATGCTCAAAACAATGAGAGGTCCCAATGTTTTGAGGGTTTAGGAGCCCAAAGTCCTGTAAGGTCCCAATAAAACCAATGTTCTGGGGGTCTTGGGAGGGCGAGCCCAAGGACCCCCACAGCATTGGTTTGGTTTTATTGGGACCTTGCATGGTTTTGTGCTCCTAAACCTTCAAAACATTGGGACCTCTCCGCACTTTCGCACGCCAGGATGCTCACAAATGTTTTGACCTTCTATGCGTCCGCAACATTGGGACCTCTCAGCACTTTCGCACGCCAGGTACTCAAAACCATGAGAGGTCCCAATGCTTTGGGCCCTTACATCCCCAACACATTGGACCTCTCCACACTTTCGCGCTCCAAGAAAGCGAAAGCCATGAGAGTGTTCAATGTTTTTTTGGGCCCCCCATACCACCAAAACATTAGGACCCTCTGCACTTGTGCTCTCCCATATATTAGCTAGCTGATGTTCAGTGGATTCTGCGACTACGACCAACTATTGCCTTACCAAGAAACGGAAACAGATTGGTGTTCGTTCAAAATTTCATGTTCACATAAACCTTATGCAATATTCTTAAGTATATCGCACTGAGTTTTTAATTTGTCGTATTCGAACACCAAAATGCTGAAATAGCTTATCTGCGCATTTAGTCAACCGGAAATCTTATGTAACATATACTTGACCCGGGTGTTTTCGTGATGTGACTGTCGTGTATCTTTTGCACATAGCTTTTGTTCAAATACATCATAATTACCACTCCAATCATGCTCAATTATTGAGCAAGCACTAAACCTCTATTTGGTGGAATACTCGTTTGGCATTTGAGTAGTGATGGCTGCATGTTCGCTGTCGCTCATTGAAACTCCAATCTTATACGGTTTTGTGTAACGTATAGTATTTACGTCGTATTCAGAACATGCAGCACTTTTATAAGTTTGTACAATATTTAAATTCCATCTAAATACTATCTTGGTGCCCCATTCGATGTTCTGAGCCGAGTTTTCCTGCTTATAGTATGGAAGTATCATATTACCTGTAGCTATTCAGTCTATACCCAACGAACATGTGATGTTCACATACAGCTTAAACAATATTTCCACTGTTATATGGTTCCTTGAGATCTCTAACCCAAACGCTATTTCATCGTCCAAATATTTCATTAAAATGTACATAACGAAGTTTTCGTAGTGTTTCAGTTATGCATACGTCATTCCATGGCGTACTCGTTATTCAATAGTTTTGGCGCATTGACGTGTTATTGTTGGTATCTCGTGTCAATGAAAGAAGTTGTAATCACTGCTGAAGAAACAGCTAGACCGTAACTGTTACGAGATTGTTGGTTTTCTGTATGTTTGGAATTACAGCACCGATTCTAAATACCTGAAGACTGCATGCGGCTTGAGTGGGAAAGCAGAACAACATGAACCATTCAACAACAAATATTAGCCTGATGTTCGTTGGGGCATGAGTTCTAACAGAAGCAATAAAGGATGTATCGCCAATACTGGCTGACTGCGAAACTGCAGGGAATGGGTCAAACATGGATATTTGAGCAGTACAAAGACACATGCTGAATGGCTGTCGCCAGCACGAAGTTCTGCAGACACATGCCGGTGGTATAAGCACACCACATAGGTAGGTATGTCGGCGGCGGGGGGGTAGCTTATACATATATATATATATATGCAGAGCATTAGGGTATCTTCACTGTAACCAAGCTTCATAGCAAGAGCTCAGTAGAAGGCGCAGCTTGGGCACTTCGGGACGTCGGGTGCTCTGAGGAATGCACCGCCGTCATTGATGCGGGCAAGGGCTTTGCTGTGGCTTCGCTTGACATCGTTGGTAGCCGAGACGAGGCGAGTTTTGGCTTTGGGAGTCTCTTCAACAGCACTGAAAGGCCTTCTTTTTTGATCTTTTATGGTGCCTCATGGTGATCCTTTTGGCAGGTGCATGTGGCTTTGTGCTTCGACAGCTCTGACATAACACACTTTCGCCTGGGAGCCTTGACGGACTGCAACGGCCACCTTGTGCTCGGCCTAGATTCATTCACAGCTCATTTCCTGTCCAGTTCACCTCAGTCCGAGGCAGACAGCCCGCTATTGGGTGGCGGATTTCATCCAGGCAGAACGGGAGGGGCGGGCGGGAGCTGTTCCAAGTCGACAGAGTCATGTCGAAGTGAGGCCCGGTGACCTGCATGGACATGGCCGTGCACCGGGCGATCCTGGTCACGGCCTGTAGCAGCTTCCCCAACTTCCAGGGAAGGCATGGCTTTAGGCTTCAGGTCCAAAATGGAAGATGCCTCTGATGGGCACTGGGCCCCAGGTCAGGATGCCTCGCTCCGAGCCTGGGCCTTGGGACCCGAGAGGGCCACACTGCTACAAGGGTCGCCCCCTGCACTGAGGTCTGGGACTATGAAGCCGGCAGGTGCGAGCTCTGTGTATGCCCAAGCCCAGAGTTCCGAGAAGCTCGGTGGAGCATTTGGGTGCGAAAGCAAGGTTGGCAAGCCCCCGAGGAGCCTACAGGTCGCGACAAAGTGCCTTCGTGAACAGAGTGGTGAGTTCGAAGTTTGAGTTTCGGGGGCTGAGCGACTTGGCGCGGCAGGTCTTGCACTGCACCCTTTTGGCTTCTTGCTGGCAGTGAGCTTCAGTGACAGGAGCAGCGCCGCACAAAAACAGTTGCTGCAGCGATTGGCATGGTCTGTTGAAAAGGATTCGTTTTATGGAGATCTTGGCGAAAGAGTGACCCGGCAGTCATTAAGCTCCGGCTGCATGCGCGCTGCCCGTGTCATTTTCTAGAGTATCGAGAGTTCTCTGCGCCAGCCTGAAACTGTTCTCGGAGCTCCACGTAAAGCCAGGCTCTGAGACCTCCCAACAGCCGATCTGTTTGGGCACACGGACTTGGCAGCGAATAAGGAATGTCCACCTGTTACGTTTCTCCCATGGTGGACATCTGCTAGCCGCAGCACAGGCTGAGTGTCCATTCCTGTTCTGCAGGACTTCCGCATCCTGTTGTAAGTTTGGTTTTATCTCCTTGACTTTGCAGAATGCAGTGCGTTTCCCGTTGCAGCATCCGGTGTTTGTCGCTGGCCGCGGCAGTTTGGGTCAAGAGGCCACTGGTGGCCCAAGAAGATGGCAGAAGACACTGCAGAAGCTGCTCCACAAGCTGTGCCGAGCTCGAGGAAAGTCCTTGTGTTGGGCGACGAGACATTTCTCTACACCGCAGGACTACAAGAAGCTTATCCAGATGTGGAATTTACAGCATGCTCGGCACTATCAACACAGAACATCACCTCCAAAGAAGCGAATCCGTTTCCCCCTGTCCTGAAAGGCAGGGTTAAGCACATGCAGAATCCTCTGTTTGCAGGGAAAGCGTACCCAGCAGCTGCCTTCGATGAGCTAATATTTATTCTGCCCGGTCTGAGCTTTATGGTGCCCAAGGAACTTGGTACCTCTGACAGACCACTTTACGCGTATAGACTCCACCACTTCGTTTTTCATTTGCTGCGCTCGACAAAGGTCCTGCTGAAAGGCGAGAGCGATCTCCACATTGTGTGGCCGGAGGAGACTTCCCTCATGAGCTCTCCTTGTGGTGCTGCAGGTATCGAGCTCGTTCCGCTTTTGAGATTCCTAGGTTGCAAGCAGCAGCCCGAAGCAAAGTACAGCTTAGATCAGCTGAAGACGGAGAGCTTGAGTCCAATAATCTTCGGAATGGTGCAAAATGAACTACCAGAATGGTTACAAGGGATGCAGATGCTCCGCTTCACCGTGGCCACAGGGCCGATCAAGGTGCCGCTGTCCGTGGCATTGCAGATCCACCCCGACCTGGAGCTTGTTGGTTTGAGGGAGCAAAGCTCCGTCCAGGGACTGGAAGCTCCTGCCGACACAGCGCCTCTGAAGGCTCAGCTTGTCCATGAGGCACTTGCTCGGAAAGCGAGGCTGAAGGACATGTATGGCCCTCACGAGAAAGGTGAAATGCCTTCCAGCTTTGATTTGGTAAGGGAAGCGCCTGCTCCTGATCCGGAAGCGCTGCTTTCTGTGCCCATGGAGGTGTTCATGATTTCCTTCGATGATGTTCCACACTTTGCCCATTGCATGAGATTTCAGGTACTGGAGGACCAGCCTCCGCTTTCGCATGCCACGATCGACGTTCTCGATCCCCGGCTTCCGACCCGTGTGGCGCGGCCCGCGCCCGTGGTCGCCCCACCGCCGGTGGTACCCTCTCTGCCGGTCATAGCGGTGAAGAAGCGCTCACGGCCGAAGGATGAGGAATGGGGAGAGATGAAGTTTTACTGCCCTTTGACCAAGATCTCCACCCCCACAGCCGAAAAGATGCGGCTTCACATGGAAGGGGAGCTGTACAAGAAGTTTGTCGCCAGGGACCCCAACTGGGACACCTCAGATGACAAGAAGGACCTCATCTTCGATTTGGAAGAGGAGGAGGCTAAGAGAGCCAAGAAAGACAAGGGCAAGGGGGATGGCAAAGGTGGCAAGGGCAAAGGAGGCAAATCAAAAGGGAAGTCCGATGGAAAGTCCAAGGACGGAAAATCCAAGGGTGGCAAGTCGAAGGGCAAGAGCGGCAAAAGCCGCTACTAACGCTTTTGGCAGCGAGCTGACGTATCCATATGCGAATTACGAGTGCGAAAAAAAGGAACTTGGCGGCGCATGCCTGGCGCCTGGCGTGACATCCTTCAATTTGCCTGCCTCGCGTTGCCAGTCGAAGCTCATCCTGGTCTTCAGCACGTGCAATTTGAGAAAAATCGCAACCCTTCGCGGCCATCCGAGGGAGGCGCGGGCATGCGAGGACTCTTGATCCCCTTCCCTCTTCGTCGCTCAAGGGACTTGTTTGAGTGTGTCAGAGGTGCTGCTTCTTTCTGTCGTCAGGTCTCCTCCATGGCTTTCGATCCTCTCGATCGAACCTTGGTCACACTAGGCCGGTTCCTTCACGTTCTGACAAGCACATTGGTGTCGGCGCAGCCCTGGCACCAAAGCCATGGTGACAGGCGAGGATGGAAAGGTTTGCGAGTGGAGCACAGAGAACTGGAACTCGGCAACCGCCTCAGGAGAGCTGCAGGCATCCCGGGCTCGCACAGAGTGCCCATGAGTGCCCAGTTGAACGAGTATGGCACCCACGGAGAAGCTGCAGCTGTCGCAACTTCTGGAGAGGGGCTTGTCTGGGCCGGTGTGGCAAGGGCCTTAATGCATTGGGGGTTTCGAATTCTTGTGGCTCAGTTGATCGACTGTGTTGTCAGGCCGAGGTCGAGAAGACCTCATTTCGGACATTTCGCCAAGGAATGCACCAAGAAAGCGAGGCTTTCGCCGCTGCCGCCGGCGACAAATCTGCGGCTTTTTGAGATGCCAGGACTACATCATGCATCCGTCTGAGCACCTTTGCTCTATGCAGCTTTACAGCAGGCCCTCAGAGGCACCGCGAGAGTTCTTGGCAGTGTTTCAGTACACCTCCATCCTCCTTACAGTTGTAGCTCGCTGTCAGGTGTCCATCCTTGCTGGTGACAAGAACGGCAAACTCATCGCATTCTGCGGCCTCACGGGGGCCCTGAGGACGGTCTTTCACTTCGGGTCGATGTAACTCCAGGAGCATACTGACAATTTAGCACTAGCATTACGCATGTCCTCAGTGAGCTTGGATTGCATGAGCCTTTGCTTTTGTGACGGCCGCGTCGCGTCCCTTCAAGTTGGGCCCCTTGAGCTAGACTCTGCTTTGCGCCACACGGCCACAAGACACATGTGTTTGCCTGTGTCCGCTGTTGCTGCGTTCGCTTAGTTGGCACCGGAGCCCGAGTCGCCGGACGACCTCCTCGATGCCTCTCGTCCCGACGTTCGACATGGCGGTCTTGGGCTGGACTATGACGACGTGTTGAGCTGAGGACCCGAGGACCCGAGGAGGAGAACCCGGCTGATCCAGGTACCACGCCGGACCAGGAGCCGAGGAGTTGATGAGATGCGCCGAATGCGACGGTGCGGCGATCCTCCGAGACTACCTGGGGCGCCCAGACCTGTGGTTCTCTACAGCAGTACCTCAACCCAGCAGCGCTTCGGAGATGGAAGTGGATCACTGGAAGCTGCTTCAGGCGGAGGACTCCGAGAACTACGATTGGACCGAGGTCGCGTGAAGCGACTCAAGGGCACCTGGACCAAGTCGGCCGGATTAGCCGACCATTTTCGTGACGACCCTGAATGATGGAGAGGAGCACTGCGAGCACTACGGCGCCTTCGGCCACACGTTCTTTGCCTCACCTCCCTCGACTTCTTCCGCGACGGCACCCTCTCGGCAACAACGCCCAGCGCCTGCTGGGCGAGCAATTCGAACGGTCGTGGATTTGTGGTGTTGGTCCGGCTCGACCTAACAGCTTGGCACCGGGAACTACCAAGCCAGTCTTCGGTGACTGTGTGGTTGGGCGAGACCACCCAGGCGGACCTCTACACGAACCTCCGGCGCCGCGGACGACCGCCGCGACCAGAACGTCGCGAAGGACCCCCCGGAGATGCTGCTGGACACGATCATGCACTATGTCACCAGCAAGGAGCCCGCCCCTCCGGTTTGGGATTTACTCCCTTCTACGTGCGCCGGGCCGGGGAATAAGTGGGACAAAAGACCGGGACCTCTTCAGGCTGCGCCTCGTGAAGATTCAGTGCGTGCAGACCCCGACGCAGAGACGGATGCCAACCGACATCCCCTATACGGCTAGAGCAGCCTTCCTCGTCTCGGACGGCGCCCGAGCAGTCGAGGTATAGAAGACTTGAGCAACAGCCAAGCAACGATTTGCAAAGCCGGTGAGGTATGCCATCCTCGCCTATGGCCACCTGGTCGAGGAGGAGACCCGAAGCAGCCGCCGACCACGGACCCGACATTCCCGTGGCCGGCCTCCCGACCCATCACCTTCCCGCCCACAGTTCCAAGGCACACGTGAAGCCGGGACACGCATCTTGAGAAGAACTTCTTCGCCTGGCGGTGCAAACTCGCACCCCCAGCGGGCCCCAGCGACCTCTTCCTTCAGGCGATCCGCCGAATCAAATGTGCCACGCGTGATCGACTACGGTGACCTCAGCGACCGCCACCAGCCACAGCAACCGCCAGGGCAACCCAGTTTGGGGACCGAGTCGAGGCCGATATCTTCTACTGCGGCGACCTTTGGGGACGATGTGTATAGGCCTTGGCGTGGTGGATGCCGCCGCGAGGCTGCATCAAACCTCTGGAGCGCATATGGCTGCGCCCCTTTGGTCTGATGAACCAGATTGCCGTTGACCCGGACGGCACCTTTCCAGGAGCATTCGAAGAACGACTTCGGTCACACGGCGTGCAGGTGAACTACTGCGCCGCCGACGCCCATTGGCAAATCGGCCAAGTGGAGTGGCAGAACGCCTTCCTTCACACGGTCATCGAGAAGATGGTGGACGCCTTCGCCGCCGCCGACGTTACCGAGATGCAGCTGCTGCTTGCTCCCTCCTTGCATGCTGTGAACTCTATGGTTTTGTCAAGGGGACGGAGCGCGTACCAAGCAGTGTTTGGACGAGTTCCTCGCCTTCCCGGCGGCCTCTTCAGCGACAGCTATGCCCTGGCGACGACCCCCGCCACTGACGCCGCCGTCTCGGCTGAGAGCGTCCGGGCCGAGGCCAGCAGGCCTGCGGAGAGCACTTCTCCGGAAAACTCGCTACGTGAGAGTGGCCCGATGTGGTCCAGGACCACCGCCTCCGAGACAACAACTCGACGAGGACGACACGAACTTCGACCCCGAAATGTTCGACGGCGCCACCCCGGAACTGACAGCAACAACCGCCGCTGTCCCAGTGACACCTCCTGCAGGGCCTCTTCAACCACCGCAAGGTGACCAGAACCTCCAGATGAGCCAACAGAACCACACTGTGGTGATCCAGCCGCAGTGCAGCAGACCATCATCCACAACACGGCCCGCATGTAAAAACCCAGCTCAAGGAGCAAGGCATGCCGCTTCTATGCCGAGAACACCAAGGGCGACTTCGGCTCCCAGGACTCCGCGCGCAGCACTGAGAAGCCGGTCGGCCAAACCACCGGCGCTGGCAATGGAGCTGGGGCAAGCTCGAGGACTTCGAACAACAAGCGTTACCGCCGAGCCTTCCGGAACCATCGGTCCCAGTGCCTTTGCCAGCTTTAGAACCTCAGGAACAACAAGCGTTACCGCCTAGTGTTCCAGAACCACCGGTCTCAGTTCCACAAACGCCCCTGGAGATAGGCATGGTGTCGGCCCAGTATGAGTCCGCAGACTTCGAAGACATACCGGGCCACCACAACCACCTCCAGAAGCGCCCGTGGCAACTCAGGAAGTCACTCAGGCTGCTGTCGCAAAAATTCCGGTACCACAAGCGCCCACGACGCCAGTGACGAGTCAGCGAGGTAAAGCCTTGAACCGTGAAATCCCATGGAGGAAGAAGGACATCGAAGCGTTCAAGGCAGCCACCGGGGAGGTGGGGCTCAGTCAAGGCCCTATCGCACGCTGAGGCGGAGCTCCGCGACAAGAGTCGCGGCCTTTCAGAGCTGATGCCCAAGTGCAGGGTGGCACTGGGCCACAAAGACCCAGACATATTTCGGCTGAATCGAGAGTGCGCCGCCACCCCCAACAGGACCGGTGGCTGGGGACAACCGGGAGTGAGTTCGATGACAGTGGCCTGGCCTGGAAAGCTTGGAGCGGGGACGCCAGTACGGCCTTCCTCCAGGGCGATATCACCGCCTCGAAAAGGGACCGTGCCTCCTACCGCCCGCAGACGGCATCACGACTATGACCGACTGCTGGAAGCTGGAAGGCCCGCCTCTAAAGGCACCTCGAGGAAGTGACTTGGAAAGGCCCCTCAGCACGGACCAGCAAGCCGAGTTCCGCAGCCTGGCCGGCTGCTTTCAGTGGCTGAGTGGCCAGTCTCGCCCGGAGTTGGCAGCAGTGAACAGCCTTGCCAACCACGGCCCCCAGACCACCTGGCAAACCTCCCAGGCCGTCGACTTCGCCAGGGAGACCAAGAACGACGGCTTGATCATCCCTGACGTCCCGCTGAATAAGGCGACCGTGGTGCTGACCTACTCCGACGCCGGCTGGGCAAACGCTGAGCAGAGCAGGTCCCAGTGCGGAGTGCTGATTGTACTTTGCCCCGCGGCGGTGCTCCAAAAGAGCGTCCCGGCAATGATCGTCGACTGGAAGTCGTGCAGATCTCTCAGAGAGTATGCCGGTCAATCCTGGCAGCCGAAAGCTGCGCGGCTGATGAGGCATGTGACCGCAGCGCCTACGTGAACATGTTCCTCGGCGAGATCCTCTACAACATCTCCGCGCGCGGGGTCGGCTCCAGACTGCACAACCTCGCGGCCACTGACGCTAAGAGCCTTTATGACGTAGTCAGAAGTGATTCTCCGAATCTGAGCGACAAGCGCTCCCTTGTCAACATACGGGCCATACAAGAAGTTGTTGCGGCCGAGCGGTTCCACTGGATACCCGCTACTCTTATGTGGGCCGATGCTCTGACCAAGCAAACTTGGAACTCCAGCTGTCGATGCATCGTTGGGTGCAGGAGCCAATGGCCACACTTAAACAATAGGCATGCAAGGACACCTGCAATCCAACAAAGAAATAATACCAGTGACAATTTAGCACTAGCATCATGCATGTCCTCAGTGAGCTTGGATTGCATGAGCCTTTGCTTTTGTGCCGGCCGCGTCCCTTCAAGTTGGGGCCCTTGAGCTAGACTCTGCTTTGCGCCACACGGCCACAAGACACATGTGTTTGCCCGTGTCCGCTTTTGCTGCGTTCGCTTAGACATACCAAGTAGATGTCCGCCTTGGCTGTTGAATGTCAACATGGTCGTGTTGAGGGACTGGCATGTTTAGTCTTCGCACTTGTGTGTTCGCTATTACTCCTGCTCTTTACTCTTGAGGATCCTGAAGAAAGCCACGCTGTCTGACTGCAGACTAAGCGCATCACCCTAGTAACACGGCAGGAGTGCGACGCTCGGCTTGCATTCCGATGCCATCACGGCGGTTTGCATCTCTGCTGATGGGCACACCGCATGATTCTCAGTACCTGCTAATGAACTACAAAGGGCCCAACAGTTGTCCAAGAGTTGTTGGGTGGGTGTGACCGAAGGTGGCCACAGCTGGTCGGGACGGTGCCATGTTCGTCCTTGCAGCCACGGTGCCAGAAACGGCGAAGAAGGGGATATACTCGGAGTTTGCGATTCTGAGGCTGATGGAATATCAGACACAGCTCGGCCCGATTCGAAGTCTCGCGAAGGCTCAATGGAGGCGAGGAATCTGCGGTGCTTTGGAAACGTCTATGTCATGAATGTGCGGTTGTCATTGTATTTCCCAGGAGTTAGCGCTTAGTTCGCTCCTTGCCCAGGTGGTCATGATCAATCGCGGAGACATCCAGCTGCGACAGGTGCAGAACGAGTTTCTCGCTAGGCCGAACAGGATGCAGCTGCGATACCAGGATGAAATTCACGATTTGACAACACGGATATCGACGTCAGATCCTTACAATCGTCAGCCGCCCTTGCAGAGAGTGCCAGCTTTCGGGCACTTGTTCAGACAGGCTGAAGGCTCAGATAGAGGAGGATGCGGCACGCCTCCAAAGCAGCGCGGCAGAACTTTGTGGGTTGTGCGAGAGGTGGCTCTGCTTCGTGTGTGCTGAGGTGAGTGTCGGGCCAGAGTCGAGGAGGTGCCGAGCGACGAGTGCGGCGGCGTGGCGTTACTGTAGGTCAGGTCATCTTGTTTGGCTAATCACTTGCTGTTCAGGCGCGACGGCAGGATCAGGAGAAGATCCAGTCGTTGAGTGTGCCTCTAAGACGTACATAACACAGGAAGGCGATGCGTCGTTGAGGCCGTGCAGCACGATGTCACCTGTGTGTCAAGGAAACCAGTATGAAACCTTGCAGCAGGCACGCTGCGGCATGCGGCATAAGTGCACTCAGATTCCGTCTGGGCTTGGCTGGGTGGAGCGGAGGCATCCACGGTGAAGGAAAGGGACAGCCTCCGGAAGATGAAAGCCATGCAGGCGTGCCGCCGGATTTCGTCGCGCGTCCTTGCTCTCTTGTGCTGCCAAGGCCTTGCACGTGCAGGCTGCCGATGACCAGGAGAAGGCACAAATCGAACAGCACCGGCCAGGGTTCATTCAAGCGCGGCGCGATTCAAGTACGAATAACCAACCACGATGCAAGCACCACCCCAACCGCAAGAGAGTAGGAGTAGGAGTAGGAGTAGGAGTAGGAGTAGGAGTAGGAGTAGGAGTAGGAGTAGGAGTAGGAGTAGGAGTAGGAATAGGAGTAAGAGTAGGAGTAGG